AAGACTTGGTACACATATCTAGAAAGCGTACATCAGACAACAATCACAGCACTACAATCACAGCCCACTGAGAGAAGACAAAAGACTGGAGAGTACTTGAGGATATATTAGCTCATTCCATCATCAAATTCCTAAGATCCACAGTTAAAGGTACTCCCTTTAAATGTACTACAGGAAAATAAGAACTATCATTAATTAGGGAGTGAACTATGAAGTTCAAATACCTTCTTTCATTTAACCCATAAACCACCTCAGGAAGAGGCTGACTTACTGATGTGAAAAGCACCACCAAAAACTGAGGCGAAAGGGGGGAAAACACCACTTAACGCAGCTCCCTAGGAACCACCATTTGGTCATTTCCAAAATCACCTGGACACAAAATTTACAAAATGAATAACAAAACTTTTTTAAAGTTTTCAGATGCATCAAACAGGAGCATTCTGAGTTTTTGAAAGGTAATCAGATCATTGTTTCAGAGTCAGTCAGTGGACATGTGGGAAATAATAACTTTATGACATGAATTTCTTTATGATATGGTGACTATATGTTACTTCAAAAACTGACCACTGGAGTGATAGGGTACCCTCCCCTTTCTTATTAAACTGCAGTATCGCTAATGAAATGATAGGGAGAAGAGGCTAGAACTGGTTTTGCTTTTATTTATGTCTCTTCCTGGAGAGGGGAGGGAGGCATTGTGGAAGCAAGCAGGTGGGCAATAAGCATTCTTCTTGATATGGTGACTATATGTTACTTCAAAAACTGACCACTGGAGTGATAGGGTACCCTCCCCTTTCTTATTAAACTGCAGTATCGCTAATGAAATGATAGGGAGAAGAGGCTAGAACTGGTTTTGCTTTTATTTATGTCTCTTCCTGGAGAGGGGAGGGAGGCATTGTGGAAGCAAGCAGGTGGGCAATAAGCATTCTTCTTCCTTTTCCAACTGTTCTGTGAAATCCAGGGTTTGAGAATGGCTTAGTCAAACCCCATCTACATTCAGCAGAGCAGTTGGACTCATTTTGATCCTCAGCCAAGATATGTGAAGCTAATTATGGAGCTGTAAATTACTAAATGTTTAAGAGGTTATTTGAGGGCTTTAAAACTTCTACCAATATGTCAAAAGAATGTTAATAATTTTTGTCATAAACTTAAGTCCTCACTTTTTCAGTCATATTCTAATACTGCTTGGATTAATATTTTTAGTAATAAACATATTTTCAACCAACATATTCACATACCATTGTGATGAAATTTAAATGCTTGTGACCAAACAATCATTTCTTTGGGAGACATACTTTTCAAATTGCAAGTAGTTTAGCTGTATTTTATTAACAAAAATACTTAAAAACAAATATTACCAGAGCCCAAAAATGAACTAAAATAAAATCAAAGTATAAACCATCAAGTGAAAATATAAGCCTACTCATAAACAATAGTAAAAAGAATCTGAAGAGAAATTCCAACTGCATGAGACACAATTCACTCCCCTAGATTCAAATGTCAAATACCCCTCAGATATCCTTCTGTGAAAATTCATGTGATTTAAAGTGCTCTGAAAGAAACTGATTCCCCCCCAATTTTATTGTTGTTGCTGCTGCTGTTATTTGCTTCTCATTATGACTCAAGGATGAATTCCACTGAGTGACTTTACAAAGAATTATGTTTAGGAATTATGTTAGGAACTTCAGCTGACAGATACATGCATTAGCAACTAAGACAAAAAGGTAGAACAGCTAAGCGGGCATGGTGGAGCATGCCTTTAATCCTAGCACTCAAGAGGCAGAGGCAGGTGGATCTCTGTGAGATCAAGGCCAGCCTGGTCTACACAGTGAGTTCCAGGCCAGCAGGGGCTACAGGGAGACCCTTTCTCAAAAAACCCAAAGTTGTAAAAAATAAAGCAAGATTTACTAAGTAGGAGATGGGATGAGAGACTACACAGCCCATTTTTGAAGTAAATATTTAAACACTGCACAGAAGCAATTTCCAAGGGCCTACATTCAACAAGTTAATATAACAGTTTAGCCAAAAAACTTTACTGTATAAAGCCTTTGGGTATAAAGCTGTTTGTAATTTATTTACATCTTTTACTTCATAAAATTGCCTTGGTGACCACAATCCTCATTTCAGTGACTAAAGACATAAACCAAAATAGTTGAATAACGCAGTTACTTAGCAGTCCTGTTTTTCCAACAGAGGTGCATTGAAAAATATCAACAGAATGTTTATTGCTCATCTTTTCAAGGAGTATATTATTTCAGAATACAGTACCCCATTGAGTAGAACTGGAACAGGTTTCCAGACACATGATATGGGACAAACACTGGATTAAGGACTTTTTTTTTCCTCCTCTAAGAATATCAGGTAAAATAGAGGCAGTTTCTTGAATCTAATACAGCACGATGTGGCTAAAAGCTCAGGTGACAATTCTTTCTTATATTTCTCCTTACTATTCCCCCTTTCCAGTAGCATACCTAGATACGGTGACTTCCCACTTTCCAGAAACAGACATAAAAAGCTCTTAATGTATCAAAGTCCCTCAGACTCTCCAGCTCCAGATGGGATACTGAACAACTGCTTAACTACACAGGGTATCAAGATTACTTTGAAGCAACTGACTGACCTAGATACAGAACTGTGTCTCCAAAGAGCTTGGTAGAGGACTGAGGCTGGCTAGGGAGGGGAGGGCAAAACTGAATCTAACAAAAATAAGTAAATAAACGTTTTCATTCATTCTTTTCCTTTAAAGAGCGTTCCTTCTTCCTGTCACAAGGATCACACAAACTCCTTTACCAAGTCAATCCTCAGAAACAGCACAGCAGAGTACACAGCAA